CCATGTCCCTGTGTACACCCCTCCAATTCAGTTAGTCACTTCCACCCCATATGGCATCCATATCTTATTGTGCCTTTATAGTCACCATCATCTGTAGTCTGGTCCCGGCCTCTGAAGTCAATCACTGTCTTACTCGTCTCAATATTTACTGGTCTAAGTCTGTACAAAGCTCAATAAATATGTAATAGGGTGAAATCCCACTAAACATATAAGAAAGGAAGAAATGAATTCATTGTTAATTGGACCAGGCAACTTTTGCACTTCTGACTTTTGCACTTTTAACAGTAGTTAAAACAATTCTTCCTCAGGTCCCATGGCTGATAACTAAAGACATACCCCTCTATCCCTTTGTAAAATATTCCCGACCAAAACATCTTTCAAAATCTTGGGGGAAATCAGAGAAGCCATGGCCGTGAAGGAGGGCTTAACGACAACAGAGTCTGTGTGTTTGTTGGGGTGGGCGTGGGGGTGGGGTGGGGAGGAGACAGCTGTTCAAGTCACACGAAGACCCAGCCCAATTTATCTCAAGCCCCCTTCGCCTTACAGATTTCTGGATTTTTACACCACTATCTTAATATAACCCTTACGGCTCGAACAGAAACTATATTTCATATGCAATATGTTTTATTTCCATGGTCCCACTGACAACCACTGCTGAGATCAATTCAATCAGATAATTATTGATGATTGGAATGCTAAAGTTGGAAACAAAGAGGAAGGAATCGTAGCTGGAAAATATGGTCTTGGTGATAGAAATGAAACTGGAGATAGATTGATAGAATTATGCAAGACCAACAGCTTCTCTATCACAAATTCCTTTTTTCAATAACACTAAAGGTGACTATAAAAGTGGACTTCTTCAGATAGAATATGCAGAAATCAAACTGACGATAGCCTTAGAAAGAGACAATGGAGAAGTTCAATTAGTTCAATTAGAAGTCCAAATAGCCTGACTGCACACCATCAATTGCTCATATGTAAGTTCAGGTTGAAGCTAAAAAAAATACAAGCTCACGAGACCCAAAATATGACCTTGAGTCTGTCCCACTTGAATATCCAGAACATCTCAAGAACATATGTGCTGCGCTGAACACTAATGACAGAAGACCTGAGGAGCTGTGGGAGGACATCAAGGACATCATTCCTGAAGAAAGCCACCAAGGTCATTCAAAAGACGGGAGAGAAAAGGTCAGTCTGGCTGCTAGAAGAGATGCTGTAATTTGTTCTTACTGTACGGGGCGAAGGCAAATGGAAGAAATGATGAAGTCAAAGACCTGAACAGAACATTTCAAAGGCCAGCTTGAGAAGACAAAGTAAAACACTAGAATGAGATGTGTGAAGATGTGTAGTTAGAAAACCTAAATGGAAGAACATACACAACATCTCTTAAACGGAAGGGATGAAAGAAAACCGTCAAGTCTGGAGTGCAGTAGTGAAGATTCTATGGGCAAAGTACTGAACGATGCAGGAAGCATCAAATGATGGAAAGAATACACAGTCACTGTACCAAAAAGAACTAGTAGACAATCAAACATTTCAGGAGGAAGCATATGATCAAAACCAAATGTACTGAGGGAAGACGTCCAAGCTGCACTGAAAGCATTCGCCAAAAGCAACCCCCCAGGAATTGAAAAGTTTCAACAAACTAAGAAGCACTGGAAACACTTGTCTATGCCAGGAAGTCTGGAAGACAGCTACCTGGCCAACTGACTGGAAGAGATCCATATTTGTTGTCAGTGCAAAGAAAGGTGACACAACAGGACATGCAAATTATAGAACAATATAATTAATATCACAAGCAAGTAAAATTTTGTGTAAGATCATCCAACAACGGTTGCAGGAGTACATTGAAAAGGAGCTGCCAGAAGTTCAGGCTGGATTTAGAAGGGAATCTGAAATAAGGGATTTCACTGCTGATATCAAATGCCTCTGAGCAGAAAGCAGCGAATACCAGGAAGTGTTTGCTTGTGTTTTATTGACTATGAAAAGGCATTTGACTGTGTGGACCATAGGAACCATGCATAACCTTAAGAATGGGAATTCTAGGACACTTAATAGTGCTCAAAGTGGAACTTGTACATGGATCAAGAGGTAGTTTGTGAACTGAATATGGGGATGGATAGCATGGTGTAAAATCAAGAAAGATATGAGTCAGGATTGTAGCCTTTCACCACACTTATACAATGTACATGCTAAGCAAATAATCAGAGAATCTGGATTGTATGAAAAGAATGTGGCATAAGGTTTGAAAGAAGGTGTGGTAGTTACATAATCTGGTGTCAATTTGATGATTCAGAGTGAAGGGGTAGAGTCTATTCTGTCAATCAGATCATAGCCAATGAAGCCTCTGAGTGGGCATGGCCTTCCTCTAAGGATTCTGGGAAATCCTGTTTTTCCTCCTTGGAGGCGGGAGACTTTCTCTCAGCCCACTCCCTGTGAGACATCCCTGTGAAGTCACATGGACCTACCCAGATGAACCAGAGCCCTGGGAGCTGGAGAAGCCATGTGGTTATCCCTGCCAGCGTTGAGATGCTTACACCACTGGATCCACAAGACTTCCCACCCACTGGCCTATGATCTTCCTGCATTAGGAGTCATTGCACATGTTTCATGAGTCTGAAGAGGGCTTTATAGATTGGTATCCAACATATGGGCTAATATCGGACTTATGGACTTGATCTGGGGTGGGATGTCTTCTCAATATTCAATTGCTCTTGCATATGAACCTCTTTCTTATGCACATATGTTTCTTTGAATTTGTTTCCCTAGTCTACTAATACAAAGGCTTATTAGCAACTTTCAATATGTAGAGGACACAACCTTGTTTGCTGAACATGAGGAGGACTTGAAGCACTTGCTGATGAAGATCAAGGATGGCAACCTTCAGTATGGATCACAACTAAATGTACAGAAAATAAAATTCCCACAAGTTAACCATCATGATAAATGGAGAAAGGGTTGAAGCTGTCAAGAATTTAATCTTGTTTGGATCCTTAGTCAATGTTATGGAAACAGCAGTCAAGAGGTCAAACGATGCATTGCGCTGAATAAATCTGCACAAGACCTCTTAAAGGTGTAGAAAAGCCACAATGTTGCTTTGAGGACCAGGGTGCCCCTGACCTAACCCAGGGTATTTTCACCTCCTATGAATGGGAAAGTTGGACATTGAAGAAGACAGACTGAAGAAGAAAGGATGCATTTGAATGGCTCTGCTGGTGAAGACTATTGAAAAACTGCCATAAGATGACCATAGACTGCCAACAGAATACACACACCTGCCCTGGAAGAAGTAGAGCCAGAACGTTCCTTAGAGGGAAGGATGGTGATCCTTTGTTTAGAGATGTTTTCAGGAGAGGCTAGTCCCTGACATCATGCTTGATAAAGTAGAGGGACAAAAAGAAAGAGAAATACCCTTGATGAGAGGGTTGGCGCAGTGGCTGCCAACAATGGACTCAGATCTAGGAACCAATGTGAAGACGGCCAGGACCGGGCAGTGTTCTGTTCTGTTGACAGACGGTTGCTATGAGTCAGAACCACTACTAGGGCACCTAAGACAATAACAATGACTAATGATAACCTCATCAAAGGAGTTTGCTGGTGTAGGCATTTTCAAAGTTAATTGGAATCCCAAGAAACTAAATCCACTAAAGGTGGCCATTCGCACTGCCGTTTCGGAGAAATGCCTGAACCCACAGTTACGCTGTCTCTGTTAAGGAGCATTGGTGGGGCTGTGGGTTCAAGGTTGGGCTGCTAACTAAGTGCGAGGCTGGCACATTCCACCTACCAGCCACTCTGCAGAAGGAGCATGAGAATCTCTGTTCCCAGGCAGATTTACAGCTTGGGAAACCCAAAGGAGCGGCTCCACTCGGTCACCATGTGCATTAGATACTGGCCACTACTTTCAAGCTAGCCTTCCAGGGCCTCTCTTGTCCACTGGATGGCAGTGGGTTTGGGGTGGCTCTGCCTGTCTCTCAGCTAACTCCAAGGGTCTTGTGCTCCAGGGAAAATGCCTTGGGAGGCTGAGCCAGAGGGGGCATCTGTCCTAACATTCACCGTGTAGGTCCATTCACCGGGCTAAGATGTTTTCGCTCCAGTCTTCTCTCTGACCTCCACGATGGCCCTCCCTGACGTGTCTAGAAATATATTACCATGTTGTGCACTGCCTGATTTAAGGCATAGGAAACCTAGTGACATCTTTGTGTCAAGCACAATTAAAGCTTACTACCAACTACCAGGAGTATTCACGGCTAACACACAGGCCCTTGGAAATTCTAGTCCTTTTCTGCAGAGGAATGGAGACATGCCGCAAAGGCACAAGGTAGCCCTGAGGGGCTCATTCTAAGGCCAAGATCCTTCAAGTGTTTGGGGACAGACTAGGGCCTAGGGTGACTGAGGGTCGTCTTATATCTGATGGCTTCAGAGATCTTCCTCAGACTCCACTTCGTGTGTCTTCCGTCTGTCTGTCTTCAACAGAGCTTCCTAACCATGTCACCCACCAATGGGTCACCAATGTGCTTTAGACACTGGCTGCTACTTTCAAGCTGGCCTGCCAGGGCCTCTCGTATCCGGGTGAGATGAGGCTCAAAGGTTCACCTCCCTGTGAATGGGTGATAAACCTCTCACCTCTGGCCGTGAAAATTTTAAGCAAAGGGGCTGCGGGAGCTAGGAGTCCCCAGTGGGGTCCCTTTGATTCCTTAAGGTCTGGTCTTTCCTTCCTCTGCCCGGCCACACATGACCGCCTTTAAAATAAGGTGACCAGACGTTCTGCTTTTGGTGGGACAGTCCGATTTTTAACAATTTTTCCCACACCCCGCGGCATTTTTAAAAAGTTCTGATTTTTGGAAAGAATGCACGACAAGCTAGGGTATACAGTTTTTGGCTGCCATGTGGCTATTTTGCCAGGATATGAGCTTTATCAATGGTGTCCCGCTTTTGTCCCGCTTTACCAATGTTAAAATCTGGTCACCTTACTTTAAAACAAAGTCTTTCTGCTTTCTTACCTAACTCGGCCCTCAACTTCTTGAGGCGGCTCGGAGGGTCCCCCTTCTGGTGTAAGCCGCCCATGCTCCGGCTCCTCTGAAGCTCGGTCACTTCGCTGGCCGCTTTGAGATGCCCGGATGCCATTCCCAAAGGCGGGATTCCGAGGACAGGGCGGTGTCTCCTGTACGTGGAGGAGGGATCCTTCTCCATGGTTGTCCTCTCCTTTTTAAAAAAAATTTTTCAGATCACGAGCAAGAAGGATGGTGACTCTCAAAGTAAAATCTTAGAAAACATGGTTTCTCACCTCTCTTACCATCTCTGGCCCAGGGAAGCAGGCTCAAGAGTGCTGCTGAGGGGAGTCCCAGGTTGCTATGCGACTCCTATGACATCACGGCAAACAAGCCCGGGGGTCAAAGGTTAAGCCAGCCTTTATACAGCCAGAACATGTTATTTGGCCATGAGTTTTGGTGTGTGAGTTTCCGTCCATCTCCCAGCCTTTTCTTCTTCCGGCTTGTCATCTCTTTCTCCGCTAAAGAAGGTCCAACCCAATCCAGCCCAGTGTGCGTGGATTCCGACTCACAGTGACCCTATAGCACAGAGCCGAAAGGCCTCACAAGGTTTCCAAGGTGGTCAACCACATTTTTCTTGAAGATCGTTTGTCGGGGGCTCTTAATAGCGCTTACAACAATCCACAAGGGACTGTAAATCTTAATGCAAGCAGACCACCTCATTTTCCCCCCGCCAGAGCAGCTGGTGGGTCTGATGAACCACCACATGCTTTAGCCGCTGCACCACCAGAGAAAGTATTGGGGAAAGGGGATGACAAAATCCAACCAAGATCCTTAGTGTGTAATCCCCTAGTCCAAGACCTGACGCTTTCTCTACTTCGTCACTGAGTTATCCTCTCTGTGGGGAACATCGTTTCCTTTTTCAGCGAATGGTTCAAAAGGCAAGAACCCCTGGTGGTCGAGGAGGGCGGGCTCTGGCCGGCAGGAACTGCTCCCAGATGGGTGGTCTGAGGAGCAGCTAACAGGGCCGAGCCAATCAATGCCACAAGTCAAGTGACTCAGGTGCTCCCTGGCCCATCTTCCCGTTTCCATCGGCCTGACCCTGTCACTGGAGCAGTAGGGTCAATACTGTAGGATTCCCCACTGGATTCTACAGCAGTTTGAATGGTATTGGCCCCTCCCCATATTGGATGTTTGCATTTTCAGCCTAACAAGAACATTCCTCATAGTGTAGGCCAATACACCGCTTTCCTCTAATCACCCAAGACCGCAGAGGGACCAATTACAACGCCGCCCC